TAATGATGTTTGAGAATGGTGGACAAATGTAAGCAGAAAAAAAAAAAAGGTAGAATAACTTATCCAAAAAATATTATATTATCTTTCAATCTTTTCAATTGTACATTATAAACATATTTTAAATTTTGATAGATTATTTATTTTGACATTCTATTTTTTTACCGTCGATAGGATTCTCTTTATTTTTCTCTCTTATCTGTGCTGACATGTTACCATTTCAACACTGGTGTTTTATTTTTATTGGAGGGATGAATAGAACCAAGGGCAGAGCTAGGGTGGGCCCCAAGTTTTAAAGTATTTTTTTAAACTTAATTTTTTAAAGAGAGTTGGTCTTTTAGAACTCCCTCTCCTCCCTACGTTATCAACTTCTCGTTGCAAAAACGTTATTGATATATAAAAAGCAAACGTGTTTTGAGTTACTGAGTTATATATTAAAATGAAAATCTGTTGTATAAATTTCAGAAAGCATTAATATACTGTAACAAAGCTATATAATTTGTTACAATGAGGGGCTAGCCCAAACGGACCGTATCTCGAGGACAAGGTGCTCGGAGAAGATTGAATGGGAATACCTCTTGGCAATATACCAAAAACAAAAAAAGCTATGTAATTTTTATAACGAGAATGTGTTATTTTGTGTTTGACCAAGATAGTTTTCTTATTCGTTATTTAATATTATTATATATAATTTTAATCATTTATTATCAAATTAATGGTAATAATTATATCATTATCTATGCCAATATTTTTTCGCCCTGATCTCTTATCACCATTAATTTATCAGTAAGTAATTAAAATCGTATTATATGATAGGATCATATTCAATAATACATAAAAAAAATCTACACCGCGAATAATGTTTTATTTTTTAAAATAAAAAACTTCTTTATGTAGGAAGGTCACGCTCAGTGTGTGGTCAATTCTCGTTACACCTAACCCTGGGTATTGGCGGCTGCATAACTGTCATTCGCCAATTTTATTAAATTTAAATTTTATCGAGAAAATCTTGAACAGACAGTAAGGTGATTATTATAAGGATAAGTTCATAGGATTTTATTTGGATGAATTTTTGAAAAAAAAATAATTATACACTTTTTTAGAAAAATATATTTTTAAAAGATGAAATTATTTTGTAATTGTACCCATTTAGTTTGCATGAATTTCTTTAAGAAGCTATTTTATTTTAAAAAACACTGTTTACTTTATGTGTATTTAGATATAATTTTTTTAAAATGTCATAAAAATAATAATAATATTTATTTAAAACCATATTAATTTTATGTAAAATTGTATTTTAAATACTGATACAATTACAAAATAATTTCATCTTTTAAAAATATATTTTTCTAAAAAAGTGTATAATTATTTTTTTTTCAAAAATTCATCCAAATAAAATCCTATGAACTTATCCTTATAATAATCACCTTACTGTGTGTTCAAGATTTTCTCGATAAAATTTAAATTTAATTAAACGGCGAATGACAGTCACGGAGCCGCCAAAACTCAGTTCAGGTGTGACGAGAATTAATCACACACTGAGCGTGACCTACCTAACAACTTCTCACGTGTAAAGTCAATTAAAAAATGTTATTAAAAAATGTGAAAGAAGTTTTTTATTTTAAGAAAAAAATAAAACATTATTCGCGGTGTAGAATTTTTTTTTTGTATTATTTAATATGATCCTATCATATAATAGGATTAACTGATAAATTAATTGTGATAAGAGATAAGGGGAAAAAAATATTGGCATAGAGAATGATAAAATTATTATCATTTAAATGATTGAGATTTTATATAATAATGTTAAATAACGTATAAGAGAACTATCTTGCTCAAACACAAAATAACGCATTCTCATTATAAAAATTATTTACCTTTGTTACAATATATTAATGCTTTCTGAAATTTATACCACACATTTTCTTTTTAATATATAACTCATTAACTCAAAGCAAGTTTGCTTTTTATATATCAATAACGTTTTTGCAGCGAGAAGTTGATAATGGAGGGAGGAGAGGGAGTTCTAAAAGATCAGCTCTCTTTAAATAATTAAGTTTAAAAAATATTCTTTAAAACTCGGGGCCCACCCTAGCTCCTCTGACTTCGCCGTTGGTTCCATTCATCCCTCTAATAAAAATAAAACACCAGTGCTGAAATGGTAACATGTGAGCACAGAAGAGAGAAAAAAACAAAGAGAATCATAACAACGGTAAAAAAAATAGCATGTCAAAATAAATAATGTCAAATTTTAAAATACGTTTATAATGCAGCATTGAAAAGATTGAAAGATAATATACTATTTTTTGAGATAAGTTATTCTACATATGTTTTTTTTTTTTTTTTGCTTATCTTTGCTACCACACTCAAATATCGTTAGATAAGAATTTCAATAGAAGAGAGAAATGATAAAGGTAATTGAGAATCACATATGATGATGTTGAAGAGTGATAGAAAAATGTAGAATAACCTATCACATATTTTTAATATACAAATAATCTGTTACAACGAAATCGACACATGACACGTGATATGTCACGACACGACACTTCGACATGTTAATTTTAAAAAATATTAGATTTTGAGACGTTATGACACATTTTGATATTGAATAATATTTTTAATTTATGTAGTGTATATTATATTTAATATTCAATAGTTTAATAAAAAAATAAAGCTAAACTTATAATACCCATCAATTTTGCAAAGATACATAAGATATTCTAAATATTTATATTAAACTCAATAATATAGTAATCGTAATCTAATAATTTGAACTAAAAACGTAACGTAATATAATATTTGATCTTTTTTTAATCTCTGCAACGCATATTGGAATGTCAGGAAATATAAGAGTGTCGAAAAGTGTCGGACACAACACGTTAAATTTTTTGAAGTGCCGGTGTTTTATAGCAAATAATATGACTCAAACTAAAATTAGCAAGTATTACAAAATTAAATTGCGAATAAACTTAATTATTGAATTAAATGATAAAAAAAATACTATCACTGTTATAGGATTCGTTTAAGCAGGTCAAACAAGACATTTAATTACAAGACATGGGTTACGTCTTATAGATAAATGATGCCACGGTATAAGCTGGGCCAATCATGTATTCATGCGCATATTGCAAGTTGCAACACTGAGTTAATGATATATGCTAGGGTTTTATAATTCTTATTCAACATGAGAATTAAAATTTTCCTACACACCCTTCGATTTTCATGCTGACATGGGTCCTACATTTAATTTTTTCTAACACATGGGTCTCACATGCTTTTTATCTCTACAACATGAGAATTGAATTCTTATTCAACATGAGAAAATCAAACCCCTATATATATGCTATATAAGATCTTTTTTCTTTTCTGGCTACATTGCAGGACAGAGAGAGCACAACCTAGAAACTATGCCGCAGATGCGCTCTCGCTCACTCTAAATAGAGGTGTGAAAAAAAATTGGTTCACTTGTTATGCCTTTGATCTGACCTTGACATAACCCATAAATATCTATTTTTCTTGAATTGATTTAAATATTGACCCACTTTTGTTTGGGTCAATTTTAGACCTGACTTGTTTTAATAATAACCCATTGACCCAAAACTTGACCCATACTCATTATGTGAAAAAAAAGAAAAAAAAAATCACAATTACATTAAAAGAAAAGTTTTAACGTAAAACAATTACGTCAAAAAAATTTACGAAAAATCTTTTCATCAAAATTTTTCGCAAAAATTTTTGACGAAAAATATTTTCATTAGAATTTTGACTAAAAACATTTCTGTAAAAAAAATTGATGAAAAAAAATTTTGTCGAATTTTTTTACGGAAACTAAATTTCGTCAAAACATTTCGAAAAAAAACATATTCATCAAAAATTTCGACGAAACACATTTCCATAGAAATTTTTTGACGGAAAAACATTTCATCAAAATTCTTTACAAAATTCAAATTTCGGCAAAAGTTTTCGACGTTAACATTTTCGTTAAACTTTTTGACAAAAAAAAAATTTCGTCGAAAATTCTAGCGAAACACATTTTCATCGAAAATTTTCGACTAAATATTTTCGTCAAATTTTTTGATAAAAAATATTTCCATCAAAATTTTCAACGGAACACATTTCTGTTAAAAATTATCGTAAAAATTTTTGACAAAAAATATTTTGATAAAAAATTTTGACGAAAAAAATATTCTGTTAAAAATTCTTTAGAGAATCTAAATTTTGTCGAAAGTTTCGAATGAAACATTTCCCCCAAAACAATTTCCATCGAAATTTTCGTTAGAACACATTCCAATCGAAATTTTGAACGGAAAACATTCTGTCAAAATTTTTGACAGAATTCTTTTTTCGTTTAAAACATTTGATGGAGGAAATCATTTTCGTTAAAACTTTTGACGGAAACTAAATTTCGATAGAAAATTTATTTTTGTAAAAATTTTCATTAGAGAAAAAATTCCGTCCCTTTGCAACAAAAAGTATTCCGACGAAAAAATAATTGTGTAACGAAATTTTTGTCATTTGCAACGTAGAAATTTTGACGAAATTTTGCGACGAAACCAAGTCAAAACTGGGTCAGGTCAGATTTGACCCACTTCATAAACCAAGTCAGGTCAGATCCGACCCGGTTCTAAACTAGTTCAAAAAAATCCAAACCAAGTCAGACCTTACTTGGATCAAATTAAAACGAGTCGAGTCAAAATACCTGACCTAAAAAAATCAAGTTGGGTCGAGTCGACACAAAAACCTGACCCGACCTGACCCATGCACAAGCCTACTCTAATATGCGTGAAGCTAGAAGCTAATAAAACAAATCTCGTTTTGATAAATTTACACATAACTTTATCATATCAAAAAGATTATGTTTTTTTTTTTTAGTTACATTAAGGGGCAAAGCCCCAACAAATACAGAAAACACAGACTAGAACAGAAAGGAAAAGAGAACAGAAACAGAAAACATCAGAAAAGAAAACAGCCCAAGCTAGCAGAATAACAGGAATCAAACATTATCCTATTATTCTCCTAACTGTGTCCAAGTTCAGCCCCGGATCCAAAAGATCAGTAGCAAGGAGATTTAACAGATCACTATGAGGGGAGGTGATTGAGTTGAGACCAAAAGAATCCTCCAAAGCCTTCTTCGCAATCCAATCCGCACAAGTGTTGCTACTCCTAGGAATTTTATTCAGTAGAACAGTCCACTCTTTCTGTAAAAAGACTCGAATCTTAGCTACCAAAGGCAGCTTTCGAGTGTCATTACCATGATTGGTAAGAAGGCTAAAAGCCTGAGAAGAATCAGTTTCCAAGACTAGTTTCCGCCAGCCATGCTTCCAAGCGAAATCTAGTCCTTTAAGGAGAGCCCAAAGTTCAGCATGCAGGGGTATGCAGGAGCCAATGAAGGCTGAGAAGCCGCCAGTCCATAGACCATTCTTATCCCTCAAGAGACCTCCACATGCTGCCCGATTGCCTTGCACAGCCCCATCCACATTTAACTTCAGAAAATCCTCCTCTGGTCTGTTCCACCATGCAGGGAGATGAGAATGTGAGTTACCTGTAAAGGTTTTTGTGAACTTGGCCCAACAGTACCTGTTTTCCTCAATTTCAGCAGCAATAGTCTTTGAAGGGTCCTGAGGTCTTTTGAACTCTTCTTCATGAATTTCCTTGTTTCTCCAAAACCACAGATAGTAGCAAATGGTGAAGAAAAAATCTCTCCATTCCTTAAGCTTGCTGGTGGTTGAGTTGAGATTGAGAATCATCCATTCCTTAAAAGAGTTTTCAGTAAGAAAACCCATTGGAAGAGGGTGCAGCATGGGTAATAGCCAGATCTTTCTTGCCTTCCAGCAGTCTCTAAATACATGGAGACAATCTTCAATCATTTCAGGGCAAAAAGGGCACTTGTTGGAAGTTCCACTCCACTTTGAAATTGATTCCCTTGTTAGGATTCTACCATGAAGCATTTTCCATATGAACAGCTTGACTCTTTCCTTGCCTTTCCACTTCCAGATTCGGTCCCAGCAGTCAAAGGGAAAAGGATTATTTGAACATAACAGGTTGTTATAAGCCAGCTTGACAATAGATTGCCCAGGATTCCAGTTGCTCCAAGCTAGGCTGTCCTCTTCGGCTTCCTCATCAGGATGGGGGATTGCAAGAATTTTGTTCACCACATTAAGGTCAAAATGGTTCACTAGATATTGCACATTCCAGCCCCCTTCTGATAGGAAAATGCTATTATTGATCTTTAACTCCAAGTCCTCTTGAGATGGAAGGGTATGAGAGTGAGCCAGGAGGTTTGGGCTGTGTCTAGTCCAATTGTCTTTCCAAAAATCAATCTTCATTCCATTGCCAATTTGCCAAGAAGTATTGCTTATCATTTGAGGCCAGATCTTACAAAGGCTCTTCCACAAGTGAGAATCATAAGGTTTACTGACCACCTCCTTTAGAATGTCTTTTTTCCTGCCATATTTGGATAACAAGACCTGGACCCAAAGCTGAGATGGGAATTGGACCATATGCCAAGCACACTTTTGAATAAATGCTTCATTCTGGCTTCGAAGGTTGAGAATACCTAAACCACCTTGATTTTTTGGTAGTTGAAGTTGTTCCCATCCGATTGCATGATGCTTCCTTTGTTCATCAGTATCACCCCAGATGAAATTCCTTTGCTTCTTTTCGATTTCTTCACAAATACCCACAGGTAATAAGCTGTTTTGCATGTGAAACATTGGGATAGTAGAGATGACCGATTTAACCAAAGTCACTCTACCTGCCATGGATAAGCACTGCTTTTTCCAGCCATTGAGTCTATTGTTAACCCTGTCCATGATCTCTCCATAGTGAAGTTTACTAGTCCTGCCATGTTTCATTCTGTAGCCCAGGTATCTACCCAAATTTTTTGTTTGAGCAAAACCACTAATCTTCACTATTGCATTAGCAACATCTATTGGGACATTTTTGGAGAAGAAGATATTGGATTTTGGATAACTCACTTTCTGACCAGACATATTCCCAAACTTTGTGAGGCAATTCATTATAGACTTGACTTGATCAATGTTGGCTTCTCCAAAGAGTAACAAATCGTCGGCAAAAAGAAGATGAGATATGGTTGGTCCTCCTCTACCAGCTGCCATTGGTTTCCACTCTTTTCTTGCTATTGCATCAGAAATCAAATGGGTAAGTTTCTCCATACAAAGCACGAAAATGTAAGGAGATATTGGATCTCCTTGCCTCAAGCCTCTGCTAGGGAGGATGCTGCCAGCCTTGGATCCATTCCAGAGGATTTCTAGCTCTGTTGATGTGATGCACTGCATAATGATATTCACCAGGGACTCTGGGATGTTTATCTCGGACAGCACTTTGTAGATAAACTTCCAGGACATCTTATCATAGGCTTTCTCTAAATCAATTTTGATTGTAAAGAAGCCCATTTTCCCCTTCATTCTATTCATGGAGTGAACCATCTCTTGGGCAATGATTATGTTATCCTGGATCTGTCTTTGAGGAACAAAACTGACTTGTTGAGGTGAGATCAGTTTGTTGAGGAGGGGTTTCAGCTTGCTCATTATTAACTTGCTGATACCTTTATAAAGAACAGAACATATAGCAATCGGGAGAAATTGGTTGATCTTTTCTGGTTTGGCCAGCTTAGGAATGAGAACAAGGAAGGTTTTGTTAAGGTCCTTCACTTCTTCAGGCTTATCCCAGATCTGATGCACACAATCCACCACTTGCTTCCTCATAATTTCCCAGTTTTTTTGGAAGAAAAAAGCTGGGAAACCATCCGGTCCAGGAGCTTTGAGAGCATTCATGGAGAAGAAAGCTTCCTTGATATTCAACTCTGAAATTGGATCCTTCAAGGCTGTCAACTCAGTCTCTTCTAAGGCAGGCCAACTAGTGTTGGTTATTTCCCAGGGTCTATAATGGTCTTCTTCCTTAAAAAGGTTGGTGAAGAAATCATGAATGATCATGTTCAAGCTGTCTTCTTCTTTGACCCAATGACCCTCTTCTTTCTTGAGCTCAAGAATTTTGTTTCTAGCTCTCCTTATTATGGTAGTTGTATGATAGAATCTAGTGTTACGGTCTCCATCTTCAATCCACTTGCATCTAGCCTTTTGAAACCAAAGAGCTTCTTCTTGTTCTAAAACTCTATTCAACTCTTCCTGAAGAGCAAATTCAAGATCAGATTGGGCAAGATATTGCTGATTAGTGTTGTTATTATGGGTCTCTTGGATTCTTTTAAGAAGGTAATCCTTCCTAACTCGGATGCAGCCAAAAACTCTTTTGTTCCAAGACTTGAGGGGATCAATTAAATTATCCAGACAAGTGATAATCTTGGTCTGGTGGTTTCCAGATGAACCTGAGGAAATGAGTCAAAGTACTATGACTCTGCCAAGCTACCAAAAATCTGAAGGGTCTCTCTTTCCACTGGTTTTCATTGGGGAAAAGAGAGAGGAGAAGTGGGTTGCGGTCCGAGTTTAGTCTAGGTAAAGCTCTAACATCCGCATCTCCAAAAGTGGTTCTCCAAGCTGCATTTGAACATATTCTATCAAGTCTCTTGAAGACTCTATCAAGATGGAGCCACTTGGGTCCCCTCCAAGTGAATTTAGAGCCTCTACAGCCCAGATCCAGCATGTGGCAGTCATTAAGAAAGTAGGAGAACTTCTGGCATCTTGCAATGTTCACAGGGGCTCCCCCTATTTTCTCTTTTGGGGAAGCTATCTCATTGAAGTCCCTCATCATGGCCCATGGTCCCCCCATGCTACCACTTATTCTTTTAATATCCATCCAAAGCTCTTCACGGGCTTCCTCTCTAGGGTTGGCATAAACCATAGTGATATAAAAGGAAGGTCCTTGACTAGCGGAAAAAGACATGTGAATGAATTGATTGGATTTCTCTATGACAGACATATTGAACCTATCTTTTTTCCAAAGATACCTGGTAGGCGGATCCACGCAGCAACTTTATGGATGTTGGTTTTAAATGGGTTAAAAAATGGTTCCCATTTCCTGATTGCCAGATAATGCCCCATCAAAGACCCATGGGCCGCCGGTTAGTGCCAGGTTCAGATCCTCCACGCTTGTGAACTTCACCGAGAAAAAATCGTTTCCTAAATCAGCCACAGTGATAGGACCCGATTTTGCCCAGAGGCTATCAAGCTTGGTCTTCATGTACATCACTCCTACCTTCTTGCCCAGTAGTTTGACTATGATTGCATTTCTCCAGGGACTTCTGAGTCTTTGTTTAGCTTCCTCCGTACATCTTATTCGCACTGACCCATCAGCTCCGAAGATGGTTTGAAAACCCTGTTCATTTATTACCCCTAGACTTGGGTCAAGGGGTTCGCTCTCTTCCTCCGTCTGCTCTTCGTGCCAGGAGTCTTCTTCTCCCATGGTGTTGTCGCTGGCTTTAAGTGCTTCCGCGAAGGACTTTGTTTTCCCAGATGGGATACGATCAGTAATGTTGCCTAAACTAGCGCCTCTGTTTGATGAATCCGGAGAAAATTCCTCTCTGTTTTTGGATCGCTTGATACTCTTTCTCATGAACTCGTTTGAATCGTTTGGTGTTGGAGTTGGTGCTGGACCGCCGTGACTTTCATTGGTGGAACCCATCTCGTTTGCCGTAGCAGAGGGAGTAAAATAATCGCGCGCGTGGACTTCACGCAGGACTAACCCATAGGTTTCTTGTCATGAGACAATCTTTTTCAAAAATATTATGTTTATTTCATTGTTAATAGGTCTTTATAAATTCTAATAGAATTCCGCTTATAATATTTTTATTAGAGAGAGGGGTAAATACAAATTTTAAAATGATATTGTCATATAAAAAACTTAAATTAAAAAACAATGCTATCCCAAATTGTGTCCTAATATCTTTGAGTATATTTGTCTTTAACGTAACTTTAATATGGGGAAAATGTTTCTCCTATCAAAATAAATAGTAATAAAATAGCTTGGTAAAACAGGTACAAACAAAAAATATATTTACATTTATGCGTGGTAAATTTTACATTGATATTGTTGTATAGATATAAGAATATTGTTACATAGATTGTACATTAATATCGTTGTATTAATTTCTTATAAGAAAAAATAATGTACATGTAAATATCGTTGTTAAAAAAATAAAAAACCATAACAATTCATATGATTTTATTTTAACTATATTATTATATTATTACGAGAAATATTATATTTATAAACATTTTATTTATAAATTTTTTATTCATAAATTTATATATGTACTTTAGATAGTATAAAAATTGAGGAATGTACCCAAAATACATAGAAAGTTTATAAGAATTTGTAAGAAAAATTTTATAATATAAAATATTTTCCTCAAATATTACTATATTTTTGGATTGTCCGAAAATACCCTTGAAGTATTTTTTTTTTCAAATTACCCTCACTAACCTGTTTAGCATCCTTGCACCGCCGGACCATCGATTTTGGCCGCGTGCCACCGTCGTCATCCACCGAACGCCATGTCGGACGGTCATCTCTCGTCGTCGTAGCTACCGTCGCAGCCGGTTCAGATCGGTTCTTAGTCATCATCGTGTTCCGTTCGATTGCTGCTACCGCCAACGGTAGGGATGTGCATGGGTCGAACCAAACTGAATTTTTTTAAAAACCGAATTAGTTTAAATGGTTCGTTCGAAAATGGTTCGGTTCGGTTCAGAAGTGATTCGATTCGGTTCAGAAGTGGTTCGGAACTGGTTTAGAACCGATTCAAAACCAGTTCGGGTCGACCCTCTTTTGAAAAGAAAAAAATTTAAAAAATAAAGTTATAAAAATTAATTTGGTTCGATTCGGAAACGATTCGGTTATTAAACCGATTCTAAAAATCGGTTCGGTTCTTAAACCGGTTCGGTTCATGAACTGGTTTTTAAAAATCGGTTATTTTATGGAGCTGTTCGGTTCGGTTCATGGTTCAACCTAATTTTAAAAACCGATCCTTTGACACCAGTGTCAAATTCTCATCTGAGAGCCGTTAGATCAAAAAAAGATCGAAGACTCTGATTTGCAAGCTTGTGACAATATTTTTCTATCTCATGCTATACACTCAGATGAGGTGTCAAATGATCCTACCTCATATATATATATAAAAAATATATTCCTATCTCATGTTATACACTCAGTGAATTTTGTGCCAGCTTTTTCCTTTTTTATTTTAAAGTGTGGACCCCACATATTTATCTCACACAGATGAGAGAACTATCTCAAGCAACATGAGATTAATAACTCCCTATATATATATAGGGCTTATTGTTTCTCAAGTTGCTTGAGATAATTTTATCTCCATCTGCCGAATCATAATCGTACAAAAATGAATCAATGGTGATAAAGGAAGAGAGAGAAAAAGAGAATCATAACCATTCAAAGGTGAATCAATTAATATAAATAAATAAAAAGACGTAGTTTTGGGGCTGCCGGAGATAAACTTATCTCAAGCTGCTTGAAAAATATTTTTCTCATATATATATATATATATATATATATATATATATATATATATATATATATATTTGTGGAAAATATATTATATTAGAAACAGTTTTTTACAAATTCTTATAAACTTTCTATGTATTTTGGGTACATTCCTCTATTTTTATACTCTCTAAAATACATAGATAAGTTTATAAATAAAAAATTTATAAATAAAATGTTTATAAATATAATACTTCTTGTAATAATATAGTAATATAGTTCAAATAAAATCATCAAATTATGAATTGTTATAGTATTTTGTTTTTTTAACAACAATATCTACATATAGATTATTATTTTTATACGAAATTAATACAACGATATTAATGTAAAATCTATGCAAATAATATTCTTATATATATACAACAATATTAATGTAAAATTTACCACGCGTATATATATATATATATATATATATATATATATATATATATATATATATATATATTTTGTCTGCACATATATATATATATATATATATATATATATATATATATATATATATATATATTTGCTTGTTTTATCAATTGTGTTCAACCAAGCTATTTTATTACTATTTTGACAGGAGAAACATTTTTCCCGTATTAAAGTTACGTTAAAGACAAATATACTTAAAGATATCAGGACGCAATTTTGGGATAGCAGTTTTTTTTAATTTAAGTTTTTTATATGACAATATGATTTTAAAATTTTGTATTTACCCCTCTCTCTAATAAATATATTATAGGTGAAATTATATTAGAATTTATAAAGACCTATTAACAATGAAATAAACATAATATTTTTTTTTTTTTTTTGATAACAATAAACATAATATTTTTGATATGATAAAGTTATGTGTAAATTTATCAAAACGAGATTTGTTTTATTAGCTTCTAGCTGTAAGAAACCAGCAAGGGAAGAAAAGGCATGTTAGAGTGAGCGTGAGCGCATCTGCCCCACCCATAGCTTCTAGGTTGTACTGCAATGGAGCCAGAAAAAAAGATCCTATATAGCATACATCATTAACTCAGTGTTGCATTGCAACTTGCAATATGCGTGCGTGCATGAATACATGATTGGCCCAGCTTGTCCCCTGGCATTTTCAGATTGTCCCAAAATACACTCTGGGACATTTGGTACGTGGAAATTTTTTGGAATTCTTGAAAAACTGAATTTTTCTAAATTTTTAATTTTGAAATATTATCGTAAATGGAATGTAAAAATTATATTTTTAAAAATTAAGATTTCAGGATAAAAAAAATTTCTTCTGTACCAAACGCACACGCCCTCTTGAAGTATTTTTTTTTTTTTTCCTCCAAATTACCCTCCCCAACCTGTTCATCCAGGGATTCTTATTCAAGCTTCAGCCGCCGCCCCAAAATTATTCAGCATCCTTGCACTGCCGGACCATCGATTCTCGCCGCGTGCCACCGTTGTCATCCACCGAACGCCATGTCCTACGGTCAGCTCTCGTCGCCGTCGCTACCATCGCCGCCGGTTCAGAACGGTTCTTAGTCATCATCGTGTTCCGTCCGGTTGCTGCTACCGCCAACGGTCATGTGTGCCATCACCACCGCGGCTGATTCAGTCTGTCCGTCAGCCGCCGTTGCAACGTCAGCCCAGGTCGCGTGTTGCAGATTTGTCGCGCGTGTGCAACCGTTGCTACTTACTGTCAGTGCATTTCAAGATTTTGCGGCTGACACAAACACAAACACCAAGCAGTCTGCATTCCAAACTCACAGAGACAGCCGTAACTGTTGTATTGTACCCACCAATATTGTTGTTAACTAATTAAGTAAATTCTTTGTTGCATCGATCCCTAATAAAAATAGTATCTATGTATGTAGATATATATTCATATTCTCTTTTTTTTGTCGAACACATGAAAAACGTATACTTAATTCAACGCCTTGTTTCTTCGAATTGCTGCATTGTGACCTTCTCTCTTTTTTATTTTAAATAATAACAATAAAATCACAAAAGTCAAGATTTTATTGTTAAGTGATTAAAAATCAATTCTTTGTTGAATCCCTAATAAAATAGTATCTATGTAGATATTCATATTCTCTTTTTTCAGTTTGTAAAGTTAATGAAGCATAGGAAGAATATATAAGAGACGAAGAGAGAGAATAAGAAGAATCAAGGAAGACAGATATATAAAATCTCAACACTTCATAACCTCATAACTTGATCTCATAACAATAAAGACAGATTAAAAAAAAAAAAAAAAACTGATACTAAGACACGTTATGATGCCTTACAATATCACATATGTAATGTATACATTACATATGGATGGTTATATATATATATATATATTAAAAAAAATAAAAATACCAAGACACGTTACTGAGTGGTGCTAG